TTCAAATCCTGGCTTTGCCTCCCACTAGCTGTAAAACCTCTGTGCCTGAGCTGACTGATTTGTGGGAAAGGGAAATCATCGTATCTATGACTATTGGATGAGTTACTACACGTAAAGCACATAGCATAAGTGCTCAACAAATAGATAGTATTGTTAAGAGTTGGCTAATTTGTGTCCAGCCTGGACTCCAACCCAGCATCCTTGACTCCCAGTCTGGTGTTCTTTCCAGTATCCCATGATGGACACAGGAGGCAGTGAGGAGGAGCTGAGGCACGAAAGTGGGAGAGCACCAGGTCTATCTAGAACAGAGGTTCTCAACCTTCCTAATGCCACGACCCTTTAATACAGTTCCTCATGTTGTGGTGACCCCCCAACCATAAAATTATTTTCGTTGCTACTTCATAACTGTAATGTTGCTACTGTTATGAATTGTAATGTAAATATCTGATAGGCAGGATGTATTTTCATTGTTACAAATTGAACATCATTAAAGCATAGTGATTAATCACAAAAACAATATGTAATTATATATGTGTTTTCCGATGGTCTTAGGCAATCCCTGTGAAAGGGCCGTTCAACCCCCAAAGGGGTCGCGACCCACAGGTTGACAACCGCTTATCTAGAACATGAGGGAGCCCAGTTTAACAAGATTGTTTAAACAGAGAAATGCTATTGCCGAAACCGGTTTGGCTCAGTGGATAGAGCGTCGGCCTGCGGACTGAAGGGTCCCAGGTTTGATTCCGGTCAAGGGCATGTACGTGGGTTGCGGGCACATCCCCACTGGGGGGCGTGCAGGAGGCAGCTGATCGATGTTTTCTCTCATCGACTCAAGCAGTAGATGCTTTTGTACCACACGTTCAGTAACGTACATGGAACACACGGTGATATTCCATTTGCATTCCTCTTGCTGGCCCCCCCGCACCTTTACTCCCCTCTGTTAATGCGGTAAAATCTCACGTATTCACATCTGTAATGAAAAGTGTAAAATTGTTTAGCATTTGTCTTTTCCTCTAGCCTGTGAGCCCCATGCGGGTAGGACTGGATCTGTCTTGTTCCTCGCAACCTTGGCATTTAGTACAGGGTTTGGCATGCATCAATCCAACAAATACTTTTTATTTGTATGTTCTAGGTAGTATACCAAGTGTGGTGCATGTGTGTGCATGCACATAAAATACACTGAAATAGCCCACAAGTGATTGCTCAGCCTGAATTAGTAAAAACCCGGAATTTTTCCCATACTTTTCAAGGGTCTAAACAGAAACAAATTTGAGCTGAATAAAGCATTGCTTAGATAGGTTCTTTTCAGGGCCTGTTTAATTATTAGATAGATATTATTTCCACTTAAAATTAAAATGGTTGTCCATATTCAAACATATTATTTATGAGCACCTTCTATGTTCCAAAGAATATAGCAGAACAAAATAGACCAAAAACAAACAAAAAAAAACATAATAAAAACCTGCCCTTGTAGAGCTTGCATCCTAATAGGGGAGACAACTAAGTGAAATAAATCAAATGTGCGTGTACATAACTGAGGGAGAGGGACAGCGAGAGGAAAGGTTGCCTCACTGCTTGCCACAGGGATTAGAGCAGGGAGGTGAGAGATGGCCTGGAGGCTGGCTTCTTCTATGGTAAGGGTCTTAACAGCTCATGCGAAGTCCCGGGGTTCCCACCTTATGCTTGCCACTGGTGTTGTATGGCTCATACCATGAGTTCTTGGTGTAGAAACCATGCTCCTTGTCTGTTTAAATGGACTTTGTATAAAAGGGGAAGCGTAGATCTAGTCATTAGGAGTTGTTCCACTTTACAGTTCCACTGTTCTGTGTAGATTCTAACCTGGAACCGTCTTATAGCTCCTAAAATAAGGTCTCATTGATGGTACCAGGAAGATTTCCATCATGATTAAGAACAAACACTTTGAAGTCAGACCTTGATTCAAAAGGCAGATCTAGCTGTGTGTCCTTGGGCAGGTTACAAAACCTCTCTGTGCCTTAGTTTTCCATATCTATAAAATAAGGAATCATCAATCCTACTTCATAGTATTGTTATAAGGATTAAATGAGATAAAGCATGTAAAATACAGGGTCTAGAATATACTAAGCTTCCCACAGACAGTAGTTACTAGCACTATTAAATGTTACTGAATGAATGGAATTCCTGAAGGTGATATTAAACCTCAGATAGGCATAGATGTGTCATGAACTGCAAAGTGCTGTGATGCTATGTTATCTATATCCTGTCCTGTCCCACATACATAATTAGTGATGGGTTGGTTAAAGAACTGTCCTTTTATTTCACCTCCATATTCTGGGGATATCACTTTGAGGCTTTCTAATGTTGCTACATTGGGCTCCAATACGCCAGGTGTTTGGAGAACAGATTCCTTATAAACAATTCACAGTCCCAAATTCTCAAGATTCCCAGTGAATGAAATATGATTGGGCAATGCAGAAGAGTACAAGCTAATGGTGATAAAAATATCAACTGACAGTTATTGAAAACCTACCATGTGCCAAGCATATGTGTCAGGCCACATACAACCCCTTTCTGCCCCTGAGAAAACTGAAGCTCAGGGTAGGAAAGAAAAAGTCAACCACTGGTAAGTTACAGAGGCAGAAACTGACGGACTCCAGAGCAGGCTAAGCCCTTCCCACCTCCTGCCTCAAGCTGTCCCTCACTACATCAGGTGACCAAGCCTCAAGGCTCCCACTGACCTCTGCTAAGATGTGTATGTGGTTTGTATGGGTGTGATTGTTGTTTCTAAGTCTCCAGTCCTAATGAGATCGCCTTATATGGAAACTACTGTGAAAATGTAGTTTCAACTATGAGGGTAGCAGTCAGAATCCAGGGAGGGGCCTTCGTTAGTGTTTGATATAAATATAATGCCAGAGACTCAAACAGTGGGTCAGAGACTATAATAAGCTTCTGTTCTTCTGTTTCACTGGTTTTTGGTTTTTTCCTTTTAATCTCAAGTTTAATTCTGATTGATCAGTTGTTTTGCTGTTCTCTTAAATGGTTCTGTGAAAGAAGTATTTGGGGTTCGGCTGGTGGGTTGATTTAGCAAGGTTTGAAAGAGAGCTCGATATTCTTAGGTTTTCTACCTGGAATTTGATGGTACTGTGAGTGCATTGAGCAGGCAGGAAAGAGGAAGTTTTGGAGGACAAGTTAACTCAGTAACCTGCAGGCTGCTGTTTGTATCACAATTTTAGGCTGGACCAAACATTTATTTAGTAGGCCATACTCAGTCGCCATTGTTGGGGGTCCAAAATAATTAAATATTGGCAAAGATGTGTAGCTTGACATCATCTATGCTAAGCACTCAGAAGGCAAAGGATTCATTAATTTAGCTGGCTTTGTTTCCAATCAAGCAACAAATATTTATTGAGCATTTGTGAGTAAAACTCTCAGTACAAAGACAAGAAAGAACAAAATCCTGCCTCTAAGCTCACATCCTAGTTGTGGTAAGAAAAACCTGTGGGTTATTTAATAATAAGGTGAGAGTCCCTGGGCACATTCTAGATGAATGAGCCAGACCAAGCATGATGGGGCTTCAGAGAAAGATCATTTGGGGCTAAAGTAATATGTAAAAGATGAGGCATTTGAATCAGTGAGGAAGGAATGACCTAGCAGAGCTTAGACATTGGATAACAAGATATATTCTGTACATTCAATTTGAACCAGAGAAGTTCAAAATCAAGGTAAAAGACGAGGTAATGAAGCTTATGACAGGCTCAATATCAAACTGTAGAGCTGTCTTTTAGTCCTGTAAGTGGAAATTAGCTGAAGAATAAAGACATGGTAAGTGCCTGGCTGGGTATCGGAGCAAACAAACAACATAAGGGTGGGGCAAAAGTAGGTCTCAGTTTATTCTTGTTTTTTTGGTGTAGGTTTGTTTTATTTTAAATCTCACCCAGGACATGCTTAGAGAGAGAGAAACATTGATCCCTTGCCTTTCATACGTGTCCTGACCCAAACCCACAACCTTTCAGTGCACAGGATAATCCTCAACCAACTGAGCCACTCCAGGCAGGCTATATTTATTTATTTTTTTTTTATTTTTTTTTATATTATATTTTTCATACGAACAACTGTAAATCTACTTTTGCCCTGTCATGTATACAAAGGACATTGTAGCCACAGTTTAGTAACTTGCCCAAGATACACACTAGTAAATGACAGCAAAGCTCCATTATTAAGCACCACAATCCAGGAAATATAAAGAACATATGAACATTCATGTGCAAGTTTCTGTATGGACATAATAGCCAAAAGGTAAAAACAACCCAAATGTCTATAAACGAATGAACTGGTAAAGAGAATGTGGTATGTCCATACAATAGAATATTATTCGGCTGTTAATAGGAATGAAGTACTAATACATGCTATAGCCTGGCTGAACCTTGGAAACATGATGCTAAAGAAAAGAAATCAGACACAAAGGACCACATATTCTATGGTTCTATTTATAGGTAATTTCATAGAACCAGAAAATAGATTAGTGGTGGCCTAGGGCTACAAGGGTGGGGAATGGGGAGTAACTGCTAATGGGCATGGAGTTTTTTTGAGGGGGTAAAGGAAAATGTTCTAAATTTAGATTGGGGTCATGGTCTCATGATTATGTGATTATACAGAAAACCACTGAACTGTAATCTTTAAATGAGTAAATTTTATGGTATACAAATTATATCTTGATAAGGTAGTGAAAAAATTTTTAATTTAAGCATCTAAGACCACTCCAGGTTTTGGTGTGTACAGTGGCACCAGAAACAAGGGGGAATGTGAAACAGAGTTAGGTGCATAGACCTGGAGCTCGGAAATGGTCAAAGCCAGATAAATGGATGGGACAGGCCAGGCCCCATGCCAGTCCTCCCATCAGAAGGAAAATACAGAAACCAGTGGCAGCTTTTTCTGCTGCCAAAGAGCTGACAGTTCTGTTATCAATGGACTAACATGTTGGTAAGAATGGGCTAAATTTGTCTTCTTTTGCTTTTGTTCTGCAGTTTTTGAGGAGCCGGAAGATCCAAGCAACCGGTCGTTTTTCTCTGAAATTATCTCTTCGATTTCGGATGTGAAGTTCAGCCACAGTGGGAGGTACATCATGACCAGGGACTATCTGACCGTTAAAGTCTGGGATCTCAACATGGAAAACCGCCCCATCGAGACTTACCAGGTACAGACCACCTTCCACCCATGGGTGTATTGCACACTTCCATTGTGTGCTTCCAAGTCAGCCTCTGCCCACAAGGGCTTATCACAACACAGAAAAATTAAAGTGGTATATCCTGTGGGAATCACAGGATTTAAGAGGAGCGGCATATGGGTGGCTAGAACTTAATCCTTATCTACTGAGCACTTACTGTGTGATGGATACCATAGATTCAAATGTGGTCCTGCTCTCCTGACAGTCTGGTAGAGAAGTGAGATGACGAGCAGGGAATTGAGTGTATGGTGATGATACTGAGGGCCACCTGGGGAGAGAGGCTTTCCTAAAGAAGCAACCCTTCATCTGAGTCTTGACTCCATGAACTAGCCAGAAAAATTGTGTTCTTAGAACAAGGTGTTGAAAGGCCTGGAATCGAGAGGAACACGGTGTGTTCAGAAAGGAACTCTCTGCATCTGGAGTATGGAACACGGGGGCAGAAAGAGCTTGGAGATGTAGGCTCTGGTAAAGTAGATTAGGGTATTTTGTCTTTAGTCTGAGTACAATGGAGAGCCATTAAAAATGCCATTGTGAATTTTGTTTTTACCATGTGTTTTATAGTTCAACTTGCCAAACAGATTGAAGGAATTTAGGGAGGAGGCAATGGTGGCATGCAGGTGGAGAAGGCGGGAGGATGGAGAGTCTGTGAGGTTTGCTAACTGATTGGGTGTGGAGGGAAGAGGAGTCAGGAAGGCTGTGTAGAGGTTTGTAGACTTACTGACAAAAAGAGACAGTATTGTTTAGAATGGTTGGCTGTTGTTGTTTTAAAGAGGAAGACTAGACTTTGAGGTAGAAAGGATTTGCAGAAGCTAATTCTAGGCAAGGGTACAATGGAAGCAAAGGTCAAGAGGCAGGAATAAACTAGTTTTATTTTAAAGATTCTTGGGTTAGATAAAAAGAAGTGGGGAAATTCTAGACAGAGAAATTTGGTTTACATATTTCTTCTTGAGATATAATGTGCATGCCATAATATTCACCCTTTCATAGTGTACAATACAGAGGGGTTTGGTAGGTGCCCAAAGTTGTGGGACTAACATTTTAAAATAAATATTCTGGCTGTGCTGGGGAGGAGACAGAGAGAATAGGTATGAGGTTATTGCAACATTCTGGCAAGGGGTGTAAGTAGCTTAGATGACAGTATTAGCAATGGAGGTGGTCAGAGTCTTGGTATATGTCCAAGGTAAAACCAGTAGGATGGGATGTAAGAGAAAAAGAAGCACCCAGGATCACTCCAAGGTTTTTATGCTGAGCAAAGTTGAGTTGCCATTTTATTTGGATGGGAAGTCAAGAGTTTGGCTTTGGACATTTTTTTAATTGGCTCAACATCCAGAAATACCAAGTAGGCAGCTCAGTATGAGTCTGGATATATCTTGCCTAGAGAACAACATTGGACACTCATGAATATATTGAGGTTTTCAAAGCCTGAGAAAAGAAGAGGTTGGGTAGAGAAAGTGGATTTGGCAAGAGATCTTGGGAAGAAGTGGCCGGGCAGGTAGGAGAAAAACAGAGGAATATCCTAGAAGCCAAGAGCAGAAACTGTCCTGAGGAGGGAGTCATCAGCTGCTGTTGCTGAATCAAATAAGGACTGAGACGTGACCCTTGGACTTAGTCATGTAGAGATTCTCGGGAACCTCCATGAAAGAGGTGTCGGTGGGTGATGGATGAATGTCTGATTGGAGTGGGTTCAGGACGGACTAGAGGACGTGGACATAGTGAATACAGATAACTCAAGACATTTTATTCTGAAGGGGAACAGAAACATGGGATACAGGCTTAAAGAAGTTTTATGCCAAGAAGCAGCAGCCAATGGAGAGGGAGACAGCTAAAGGAACAAAGTCCTTGAGGGACGAGGGTCCATTGCAGAATTGGCCTCAGAGGGGAAGATGGTCAATTCATCTGTCAAAGAAAGAAGAGTGCAGTAGGCTTGTAAATTATGTGATGGGACTGTAGACGGTTTCTTATGTCGATTTTCTCAGAAAAATAAGGTCATCAGCTGAGTGAGGGTGAAGAAAAAGGGTAAAATTCTCATGAAGAGAGTGAATTGGCTAGGGCCGTGGTCAGCAAACTGCAGCTTGCGAGCCACATGCGGCTGTTTGGCCCCTTGAGTGTGGCTCTTCCTAAGCCTTAACAATGTACCTACCTATAAAGTTTAAGTTTAAAAAATTTGGCTCCCAAAAGAAATTTCAATCGTTGTACTGTTGATATTTGGCTCTGTTGACTAATGAGTTT